AAATGTTAATTATAGTAATAATATTTTAATATTTTGAATATTAAATGTTAATTATAGTAATAATATTTTTAATATTTTAATATTTAATTAAATATTTTATTGTGATTAGACTGTTAAAATAAACAATTAAATATATGATCTTTATTACGGAGAGTTTTTGTTCTGTTCTAGATAAACTATTCTGACCTCGATAAGTCCTCAAAGCCGCGTTTAGAGTAAGTTTGAAATGTTGGAAACATGCACACACCTTTTATTCCTTGCCGCCTCCATCCTCGGGACGAAAGTGCACACTTAAAATCGCATTACGTGCGGAGTACTCAAAGATCATCTACGTCCGATCCATCGGTCGGGAAAAGATTTACCCAGACATGTGTTCTTCACGCTAGCTCCCCCTCGTAGATCGACTAAAAGGTGTGCACATACTTTTGGGACACTCTGTGTTTTTCTTTCCCTTACCTAAGTGACTTTCAACGTCTACCAAGTAAGAGATGTATAATATTAAAAAAGACATAAATTCAGAGAACTAAAACATTGACATTTATCTTATTAGTACTCCATTAGTGCAACATAATAAATGCATCCTTCATGTGTCTGTAAGTGTCATGTCGTATGAAGACCAGGTGATATGATTTGTAAAATTTCAACGTAAATAGTTGACATGGCGCGTAATTACTCGGGGTCTTAAAGAAATCTACGTCTTTCTCAATCCACGGGCGTGTGGATTTCCACGATGACGTCAGCATAGATGAAGACACATCCCAGGTCGAAGACGGATCGCGTTTGGAAATTCTTCTGTAACACAGAGAATTATTTAAATTACGATTAGTGACAGGCTTTTATTTATAATAATAAAAATATGATTTAATAACGTAAATCTTAATACAGATTATTACCGTACCAGCTTAAGTATCCTAAAACCAATGTTCATGATCAACTCTTTCGTATTTCTTTAGAAATCTGGAAGCCCTGAATTAGAATAAGATTATGATGTAGTTCGAGGTTTTACTCGGTTAAATTTCGAAAATGTTGAAATTGTATCGTAGTTCAAGGCGTTCACAGGACGAAGATATTCGAAGTACATGGATCGAATAGCCCTCAAAGGCACTTCGTGGGCTTTCAACCAATAGGAAGCCAATAAGTGATCGTCGAAAGACCAAGGCGTTGTATACTCCATACACATCCTGAAAACATACCACGTTCTTATTACTCCACGATTAAATATCCTTGCATTCAAAGAAAAATAAGGTTTATATTACATCTTCCGGTGCTAGAGAACACATTTTACGGAATACGAAGTTTAATCGGACAACCAAATATTACCCGTTAAAACAACATGAGTCCCTGACTCATGTCGTCTCATCTTTTGTTTTGATTTAATTTATTCTTGGAGTAAGATAAGTTTTTTTCAGTTTTCTTTAAAGTTAATTTTGTGGACTTACGTGGTTTTTCAAAATAACCGATTCAATTATTAAATTAATATGCTGAAAAGAGATAAATTTTGAAAAAAAATATTTGCCTTCAAAACTCTAGATGTTTTAAGAATGGTTGATTCGTTATAGAAACAGTATGTTAGACATCTTCCATCGTCTGGGGTTTATTTCGTACACACGACGTTTCGTGAACTGTGCTCCCCTGTTCAAGTTTTCTTCGTGTTGCCAATGACAACGGTCGGGATCAAACCTGAAAACTGTGGAGTGCTGGGCTAGTACTGTGACCCACAGGTCACTCCAGTTTTGACTCTACTTAAGTCCATGGATCGTTGTCGGTAAGTTCGTAAGTTACAAATTGTCAGTACAGTGAGAAGTCACCTGAAAATGTATCAGAATCAAATCTGTAATCGTCGTATATATCCAATATACCTCAGAGAATAACAGTGTCCAACACAGTATGTCTATAAAGTACCCTAACATCATAAAACTTGTTAAAATCTGAATAAGATAATTAGGTATTGAATTATTGTTTATTTATTTTAATTTCTCTAAAAATAGTATTAAAATATATTAAAATTGTCCGTCAATCACAATAAAGTAATATAAGATAATTAAATGGTTAAAATATTATCCTTTGTTCCGTATCGAGTACTCGATTTACATATGGAACATTCTCGACATGTTTCGGCTTTCATATAAATATCTTATAAATATCTTTAATTTCTCTGTATATCGCCAGATAATATGGAGATAACATAACAGATTAGACCGAATCGGATTTGTTGGACAAAGCGAACACAAATTTAAGTTTAACATACTCGATACATTATTTCAGATCCAAGACTACAAGTAGCAAATACAGTAAAATGTAGTAATATATTTTAACTTCGCTTGTAAAATTACAATTCACGCCTACTTTTCATTCAATTTTGTAACATTCGAAAGAATTTTGTATTTTTTTTTAATCGTCCTTCGCGTATTCGAAATACACGATTTATTGTTTACACGTTCGAAATTCTGGTATATTCTTCAGAAAAATTATACACACCACCAAATTTATAATTTAAAGAAACCCTGATTAAATTGAGGTCATATTTTCTTCAAGACTTTTACTTTTTAAAATGTCTTTTTAATGTTCCAGACAGTTTAAAACTACTCAAACACAAATCTTACCTTTCGTTTTTTTTTTTTTTTGGATATCGTCTGTGAAACCAAGTTGTCAATTCGAAGAAGCTTACGACATGGTTCACACTGTTCTATGCGTTTTCTTAATAAATTGGTGCACAAAATCTTGAAGAGTCCTTTCTAGTAACACGCAGAAGTTGTTCCTTTACACTCACGATGTTTACATGACAAATTTTCGTTAAGTCAGTGCTGTTCGGGCAGGGTCTAGTTACACCGACAGACTGACTCTACTCGACGCCTAGCGTCCCGTCGTCAGCCTTGCACTCCTTTCTCACGTCGGAATGCGCCTGTGCAAACCTCCCCCCTCCCCCACAACCTAACTATTCCTAAATACGCGTATACATCAGTAGCACGTGTGAAGTGTTTCCAGTTGTGATCGGTTTTTCATATTCCTGTACAAGAATACGTAAACAAATATTTCTTTCCGTGACAATGATATATTTTTGCTGTTCAATTGTTTTTAGATTTGTGTATGTTTGTAAACAAAATTGTTTTGATATTTATTGTCTGGGTAATATGAAGTCTTATTGTTATGGTACATCTTACCTGTCCCATTTTGTGATGATTATTCCACGTCTTGTTTTGGTGTGGAGCTGTTTCTCCTTTGTTTTTGAACTGACGAGTGTGGGGGAAGGAAGTTAAGTGCTGCTATCTGCTTGGATAACTGATAAATTATTTTAATTATTTTGTTATTCGTTTGCATGTAGGCTTTAGTTTTAGTCCTAATTAAAACGACAGGCAGATAAATAATTGAGGACAGCTCTGAAATAATGTCCAGTTCCTTCCTTTTTGATGTTATAACCACAGAGAACTTAGAAAGTTTAATAATTACCATTGTTCGGACGACAGGTTATCCGAAGTAATCTATCCAAACAGTTTTGTTCTACAAACGCCATCTGCATCAGCGGCGTTAACTTGAAACAGTTTAATGCATCAAGTTGTCACAGAGCGGCGCCACGCATCATGATTGAATGTTTGTGGGTATATAGATCACTTCTCTACCACGCGGTTCTTACCTTTCGAGATTGTATTCCATTTGGAATGTCTCCCCTGCCTGTGGCTAATTTTAGTGATTTTATTCAGTCTTTCAAAGCACATGAATTACCTGGCAGGCGTATTGAGCTCAGGAAGAGGCTCCGATATGCAGAAAGCGTACTAGGTGAGAAATGCACACAAAATTTTATTGGGAAAACCTGAAGGGAAAAGATCATTTACTCAGACTGGAGCATAAAATAAACAAATATCTTAATGAAATCGAATGCGAGGTTTTTTCCTGGTTCCAAGCTGCTCAGGATATGATCTTGTAGCAGGCTGTAGTTTAACGTAACGGATCCTTGAATTTTATAAACGACCAAGAATTCCTAACCAGATGATCGATTATCAGTTTAGTCAAGTACGAATCACTGTAATGTCCAAATGAGAAGACGACACTGTAAATTTGCAAACAACATGAGACGGATAAAACCTTAAACGAGGGAAAGTAAGAAATAAAAGACTGTAGTTATCCGAAAGCGATGTTGGCAGCTCTGAATAAGATTACGAATATAAACAAATTTATTCTTCCGACATTTGCAAGTAGTTGGATTTCATATTCTTTTCAACACTGATAATATTTCTGCACTTTACACACGGCTGCTAATCATACACACGCGTTCACCATGCCGTTATTTTCCACTCTCTAAAAAAGAAGAAAGTGACCTTAGTTATGGTGGATTAACACAGCGCAGTTCCATGCTGAGTCTCTCGTCCATACAAATTCGTACTGATGAGACTAGTTATTACGGACCTAGACAGATTGTTAATAACCAGACATCTCACAGCGTGAGCTTACATCCGTTCACGATGCTAATTTCACTGACAGAGAATGTCATCAAGCAACTGGGTCAATGTGATCTCTTGTCCAATTTGCACTGTATTCTTAACCTAAAATTGAATTCAAAGTGTGCTGTATCAACAGCCAGAAGGCCAATTACAGATACAGCACAGAGATGAGCACACGAACACAAGACAAAACACAAAAGGTAAAACAAGCAATATATAAAATACACTAATATGGAGGACGTTACTACACAAGAAAATTGCAACAAAATATATTAGCATACAATAACTTAATGACCTTATAAGTCACCAATGTTCTGTATTATCAACGTAAGAGCAAATTAGGCCCATCTGTAATACATGTATACCACATTTCCCCTAAATTAACCTCAGAATCTTATACAAAGCCTTGTAGGTCCTTACCATTGACGGCTGCGCTGCTTCGGCCATCTGTCACCCATCCGTTCGGTCAAAGCTGTTACGATTCCATTTTACCACCTGTACTTATCCATGAAAGAGAATCAAAAATTTCAAAACAAATAATAAATTACAACTTTTTATTTATAAATTTTCGTGTATTTATTGATACAGGCGTTATAAAAGGAAATATTTAAATATAACGTTACAGATAACAACACTAAAAGTATAAAAAAATGTTTATAAAACTATACAAACAAATGTTATACATTTAAAATTACAGCATCTTCAAAGTCCAAGAACTGGGCCCTCAGACTTTTGTTAAAGTTAATTTCCTTACTTAATTATACGAAAGTTTTAAGGAAATTACTTCATTTCGAAACGTTGCTCGAGTATTATAATACGACACCAGAAAATGTAAGGCTTCTTTAAGAAGGAAATAGTTCCCATGGCTTAATTTGACTTCACTGATGTCTGTGGGACATGACGGTGTTCTCGTCAGCGAAAGCTTCAATTTTTTGACACGCTATGACTGGGTTACAGCATGCAAATATTTTAAAAATTATTTTGGCTTTCAGAAGGCAAAATCGATGGATATCGAGACATTCGTCGTCCAAAATTTCTTTATAAAATAAATTTTCTACACAACCCTGATGTTTGGAGAGGAACGAGGTTTAATTCATTAACCCAAGTTCCCCAAAGTACAACTATGAATTAAAAATTTGCGTGAATTACTTTATTTAGGTGTGACGCTACGAGTGCGGAATGCATGATATATACAGCAGGCTTTATGTTTTTTTTTAATTTTGTATTTTAACCAAGTTAGATTTTTAAGAAACTAATTAAATCTAAAAGAAACTGGAACCATTTTCCTAAACCAATTTGTACTGTAATTAGTGGCAAACGGAAGGCTTATCACAAAAGGAGATATATATATAAATATTTATAATTCATTTATACAGTCTGTTTACAAAATTAAAGTTTGTTCTAGCAACAAAAATGAACCATGGGAAATTAGAAATATTACCTTGTTGGGAAACTATGGTACGACATGTTGTCATGACCCGGAGGTAATCCTGGGCCGTCGTGCGCCCATTCGTACATTCGCGGTCCTTCTGATAAAGCAGCCGAGGGCGTTATAATCATCGTAGATGAGGCACCTGTACCTGATAAATACCCAATACTAGAAACAGGAACTCGGGGGCAGTCTCGTAACAAACTCCGCTTTACATGACGTTTGTACCTAAAATTTAAGAAACAGGATTAAAAATTCCCAAGAAAAAATTCTTAAAAGAGATGCAGATTATACTTCGATAGGTATTTCGTCTTACCTTCCATGTAAGCAGCACGTAGCTATGCCAGCCATCAGAGCACCTAATCCGATGAAGCACGCAATTGCTAATACCCAGAGCTGAATCCAAGAAGCCTCTGCTTTAACGATAAGAGGAGCGCATCTCTGGAACATAGATGTTCGCTGGTGAAATTTATTACGTACAGCTGACTCTCCTTTCACGGACACCCTCTTAACGAACTCTTTACCTTAACTGTGTCTTTTCCATTCTCATTTACAGTCCAGTGCAGTAATTATTTCATTTATCTACACAGGTCAACATTAGACTATATCATCAGGCATTACAGGGAGGGACTGGGTAATACCATAACGGGATACTGGGAACGATCCGTTCTTCAAGTGCCTGAGCACTGCGGGTCCCAATTTTACGTTGGCTTGATCTGTAGACATTCGGTAGGACTCCTTGGACGAGGGATCGGCCCGTCGCAAGGCCTCTACCATGGCTTGAGTGGGATTCGAACCCACGGTCCCAGCGACCAATCGGCACAAGGCCCACGTCTCAGACCGCACGGCCACTGCGGACCCTTATTTATTATACTTCTCTTAAAATCTTCGGTTCCTTATAGACAGTAAATGATGGTGGTCACCTGTATCATCTATTTCAAAATAGTTTTAATTATAGTTAAGGCAAACAGCACTGAAATCCTGCTACAAATGGAAGGACACGGTGGCCGAAAATGTCATATTTACCAAGGACCATCTCACCGTGTTTTACAGCAATTGGCAATATACAACAACTCCTTACTTTCTGCTACAAGAAAAGGGAAAATTTTCAAGGTCAACCTTCTTGCTCTGCCTAACGGCCATCACAGCTAATATAAATGATGACGTAAAGTCTACTGCTATACAGTGTACTCCTACACTTTGCGCTATCAAAATGAAATCATCAAATTCAGTTTTTGTAAGCAAATATTTTACAATTTCAGATGAAGGGTTACATTTGTGTGAATACAGCGTTAGTTACATATTTTCTAAATGTCTGAAAAGGTCTTATTACCTGGACACCTTCCACATTGTATTTATCATAAACTTTGTTCAGGTCAATGTTACTTGGATCCTGAAGCAACGACTGCATGTCATTAAGGTCGTAGCTTTCCTTACCAACCAACTGGAAACAGGAACTGGAACAAATGTATAATCACAAGTTATTAAAAATTAAAAATTAAATCCGTGGCGTAATAGCTCCAGAGAGCCAAAGCCTCACGTTCACATGCCTAAGCAGAGGTGAACGATCATCTAACCGGATATAGGATGACGTGTGGTCAGCACGACGAACCCCCAGCCATTGCTAGTTTTCCTGACCGGATTACGCTACCCATTGTAGCTCCCCAATTTCCTCACGATGCTGGGTTGGCACCGGTCGAAAGCTCATGAGAAAATTTCTTTTCCCCGCCGAGACTCGAACCAGCACGCATTCCGTATCGCCGGTCCGAAGCATGACGCCTCAGACCGCGCGGCTACGGCGCGGGACAATCACAAGTTATTACTGTAAGATTTTCTTTTCTCCAATCATCTTCCCAAGTTTTCTCACTTATCATAAGAATAACTTTTCATACATTCAGAAGCATTATCTGCACGAGGGGAACTCGCGGTACAACCCCCAAATTCTGTGAAAGATTGCATGCAATGCTGAAAACAAAAAACAAATTTAATTCTAAAAGTGGCTAACAAACCTTGTACTGCTGAAGTCAAGACTGCCATCTTCCTTGGCATAAAACTGAGTGTCATAAATGTTGAGACTGACAGGAAGCAGAAGCGCCTTCTCTACCTCCCTCTGGAAGTCGTTAAGTACTCGTCTGACATCTGTCGGTGGTTTGCTGAACACAAACTTCAAAAGGTCTCGATCACGAAGCACAAATATCTGTGCAGAAGAGAATGTGTTACATAATCCAATAATTATTTAACAACACACAATTGCTTCCATGGCAATACCCTGTAATTCAATCACATACAGTGATAAATGTTATAAATAAATACACCGCTCCCCGGTTATATTGCAGGGTTTCGGGGGTGGGCGGGTTTTGACCCGCGTTATAAGACAGCCACGCTATAACTGATGCCTACAATTTTTTTTTTCCAATTCATCGATTCTTGCTCCGAAAGGACTCTAAATATATACGCGAGTGAAGTCCGACCATGTTTGCGATATTTACCGCGCTCTATTCCGTGAATTAATTTTTCTTAATTCCACCTCCAGGCCAAAAAAATCCACTTGGGAAGGGTTAATACTAATGTGTGAACAAACGAATTTTTCAAAAAATTATATATTTTCACAAAAAAACATGTAGCAATAGATAATTATAAAAAATTCAAGAAATATATTTGATCATATTTTTTTCAGAATTTTTTCCGGCAGTGTCGGGCAGTAAGACTCGCGGTATATCTTAATCCTCCGCATAAACGACGGCTTCAACGGAAACAAGTAGGACAGTGTGTTAGATTTATTTCTTATGAAATCAGAATATACCGAACCTTGACTGTTGTATTAACTTCTCTTCCGCTAAATTCACTATTGTTTGCCGTCACGTCCAATTCAAAGAAGCCATCCACAAAGCCAACCATGCTGCTCGCCGTTCTCAGTTCTCCTGTCTTGTTGTCGAGTCTGAACACTGCACTGTGATTGGCTGACACCGGCACTGTGTCTATAATGGATGGTGCTAGAGAGAAAAACGTAGAGTTGACTAGGCTGTACGTGATAGGTTGAGCGTCTGAATCGATGTCGTTAGCTTCCTTTTTGTCCACAGGAACATTCAGGCGAACGCCTGAAATCAGAACAACCAGAAATGACTACGCTAGGTGTCAGAAATGAAAGACTGTCATCTCTTATTGCAAAATCCAGTTTGATCACCTAATGGTTCCATCCATGCGTCTTTCTGACTGTGTTAAAAGATATAAAAGTAATCTTTATACTTATTTTCAATTAGTAAAAGATAAAAAGTTTCCTTTTTCAGTCTCATAATTGGAATTACTTTTATAAATCAAGGCACAGGCACAAAGCAATGACGATGAAATGCCTCGAGACAGCTCATATTACAGTTTCCCAATGAAGAAACATGGGTTCAATCAGATGACAGTCCACGTAAAATTTATAGCGGACAAAGTAGTTCTGGGGCAGGGATTTTACAAGTACTGAAAGTTTTAAATGCAAACAATAATTTTATAAATGCTACACATGAATCTATGACTGTTAAATTAGTGAAATAAATATCGCAACCCCCACTTAATGGTACGTGCACCTTGTCGTGGTGGTGGGGCTTGAGTACCTCGGTGACCCCAAGAGCTACTGGTAGGGCCTCCCTAGCCAGATTGGTCAAGGGGGAGAGGTCAGACTAAGACAGGTACCCTGGACCTCCAGGTCGGGGGTTGGGTCGCACCGTAAAAAGGAAGATGTTTCAAAACTTCAATCAAATCCTCGGACAGACGGACCTAACAGAAGAGGAGAATTGAGGAGGCCATGGACCGAATACGGACCGGAGAGCCATAGAAGAAGAAATATCGCAACTTCTGACCTCATCAGCGATTCCTCTTCTGTCTTGGTACTTGGCTTGACTTAAAATAAGTAAATAGGTTTATGACATAATAAACAATTAGATACATTTTTACATACGATACTCACCTATAGTGATATTTTCCTTTGTAAAAACAGGCTTGTTATCATCGATATCCAGTACTATAATTCTCACTTGCCTTTCCGATGGATCCTGCACATCAAAACAAAATAATATAATTTCTCCGCTACATTAACATACTAACCCTCACTGCTGCAAATTTACCCCTCTCATGTCAAATCGTTACATCATTTTGTGTAATGTCTGTTGCAATCTCTATGAAAGTAAAAGGAACTATAAGAGTTTTCAGCGGAATTGGCGGCTGAAGCCATGGTAGGAAGAAGTGGTGGTAGGTGGAGGGGCGAGACAGTGAGGAAACAACATACAGTGGTGCCAGATGTAGCATCGCAGAACATTGGATTCCACAACACTACGCAAAGAACATGTAAGAATTGGCAAACAACGCAGTGCGGCTGCCGATGTTTCTACCACGGAGTTTCTGAACAGACCTTCTTTGCGCTGATCGGTCACTCACAAAGAGCAGAACTCTACTCAGCCACCAATTCCGCTGCAAAATACTAAAAAAAAATAAATCCGTGGCGTAACAGCTCCAGAGAGCCAAAGCCGACTAGCTTGACTGCTGGCCTCACGTTCACATGCCTCGGCAGAGGTGAACGATCATCCAACCAGATATAGGGTGATGTGGTCAGCACGACAAACCCCCAGCCATTGCTAGTTTTCCTGACCGGATTACGCTACCCATTGTAGCTCCCCAATTTCCTCACGATGCTGGGTTGGCACCGGTCCCGTACACCGGTCGAAAGCTCATGAGAAAATTTCTTTTCCTGAGACTCGAAACAGCGCGCATTCCGTATCGCCGGTCCGAAGCATGATGCCTCAGACCGCGCGGCTACGGCGTTGGACGCTGCAAAATACTATAGTACATTGAAAAAGATACTACAGAATTCTTCTAAATATATATAATTAAATAACTAATGATATGTAATAAACTAACTTTAAATTATACACACTTCGAACAGAATTCAGCTTTCTGGATTGAATAACAAATTTTAATTTAAACTTTTTCATGGACATTCAGCTTTAAGGACCGAGTATATTGTGTTACAGAAAATAGCAACCTACTAAGTTTTGAAACGTAATCAGACAATCTATGCATTCAAAATAATTTATACACGAGTCACTAAAATATTTTATCTTAAGATTTCATATTGTTAAACAAATTACTCATTCCTAAACTAATTTTTTTTAAATTTATACTAAAACTCGATATATTTCGTGGAATAGTTGATAGATTAAAATCTTTTTACCTGTCTGTTGTACTGTTTCCTCAAACTGCGAGGCCTGGAAGACTTCTTAAAACACTTCACAGTTATTAAGTGTTCTGAGGCTGCCTCTCGATCTAATCTCTTCGCTACGGTAATCATTCCTTTGTTGTCTGATGTGTGCATTATAGAAAATAGTCCATCCTCATTACCATCTGAGAAGTCATTAAGAAGTCTCATAAGGATAAAAAAGAATTTATTTCATTTTTACAACAATTTTCAAGTGACTTCGATCAATGTTCTGTCTGTGCTTAAGAAATGCATTCATGTTACATGTCGCTTAAGGTATTATTTAAAAGGCGTACCCAATTTGAAGTATGCATTTTTCAAAAGTGTTCTTTAAAATTTTGTATAAATCTTGTCTCTGTTCATTTATTGCAATAGAAGACCTTCGTTACAACCCCTTGAACCGCTGTGACCACTTACGTGTTTTTTAGCCACGCCCACAATTAGGACGGTGAGTTAATTTGGCGCTGGCAGATATAGGAACCAATTCTTGGTTCTTTAAGCATGAGGATTTTGGGTACGCCTTCATAATGTGGTCATTGACCGTTGAACAATAAAAATCAGGAACACTGGTAATTATGCAATAACTCGCGTGAAACGTCTCGAAAGTGAAAACAAAATGCGGGGAACAGCAGTTACCCTATGCTCTGCATATTTGCTGTCCGCCAGATGTAACTTACATGTTATGAGGTAATCGATCATTCCATTTTCACCTATGTCGTCATCCACCGCTTCGACTGTTCCGACTTCTGTACCGATATCTACTTCTTCCCTGATGGTCAGACCTTGTGGTTCATCATCCTAAGAAGAATAAATTCCTAACCTAAGGCTTTGTAAATTCATTACTAATGCATTTGGTCAGAAAATAAGAGATATATATATATATATTTTTTTACTGTATTACTGACGACAGATGATCGCTAGAAATCAAACCTCGTGAAAATGTGTCACACAAAATAATATAGTCCCAATCTAAAGGATTAAAATATATAAAATCTTGAAATAAAATTAAATTAAATCTACGATGACACGTAGTTGACAGCAATCCCGGTCGTGGCAGTTATTATTTTAAGAATGTTTAGTATCTTCTCCCTAAATTTTAGACGATAGTATCAGCCATTTTATAGACCAAGTCTGTTGGGCATTTATATTATATTTCCGTTTCATAGCAAATGCATGTTTTCATTCAAATCCTTTCGTACGATCGCTTTAAGTTTCGCTGAAGCTGAAACCAACTAATAATGAGTTTAACCTTGACTGCAGAGAATAAATCAATATTTGCATTCTTAATGGTCTTCGTGATTGTTCTACATAAAGATCAATTAAAAAAACTTGTTTGCTATGCAGAAAACAAGTACATAACCTGCATTCCGTTGAATAAATTTTATGCCATGTTTCCAATTAGGAAACATTATTACTATTAAAAGAAAGAAAATATGACACTGAATACTGTTTCCATTTACATGTTAGCGTAAGTGAAGAATGTGATATGAGCATGTCTTCCCTGCCTGTCACATTCAACTGAGATCATGCTGACATCTATCAGTGGCGATGTGAATTATTTGATATCACGCACATCTGATACGACACGAAGAACAACTACGGAACTTCTGTGTACTCTACAGAGTACACTTTTCCGATTTTGTGTAATTTTATGGGTGGAAAAACGTGAACAGTTTGTAAACTCGATTAATAATGCGAAAGTATAATAGTTGCTCACTACATAATTATATGTGCATTATTTTCACATTTTTAAATGAGAATATTGGTATTAAATCCAAGGACGTTTTCACAAATTATTTTATCGCTACTCATACTTACCAGTCCCCTCTTGAAAAGAGGTTTGTGATCATCGATGTCAAGCACTTGAACTTGTAATACCCTGGACGCCTGCTGAGGAGGATCACCATGGTCTTGAATGACAACGATTAAAGAATAATTTTCCTTCTGCTCTCGATCAAGCAGTAGCCTTGTACTGATAAGACCAGTGTCGTCATCTGAACAGAATAAAAATAATAATCAGTTTCATGTGTATGTTGTCTGCCCCTGGAAGGCTGAGCACTCTTGCATTTTTGGGTAAAGTTCTTCACAACAGATAAATACAGATGAATGCAGCCAAAACCCTTCTCCTCAACGCAACACCAAGGTTAATTAATAATGCAACATGCCTTCACAGTGTACGACACACACATGCATAAACTCATTCATACCTACAAAATTGAATAACTATAGCTCTTCTGTGTTTCAGGTCCATGATAACAGAGTAGGCCTACGTACAAACAGACGAAATAACAAAAAAGACCTACGAGAAGAAAAAAGTAATTCAGTTACCAATATTGAAAGCAACTGCATCCAGTCCATCATCTAGGAATTTATATGAGATCTTCCCATTTGGTGAATTTGGATCATCAGGATCTGTGGCCATCACCTGGAAAACTGGAGATCCTATTGAAGAATTCTGAAAAGAAATACAAAATTTAAAGTAGTTACAGATAATTAACTGTTTAAGATTTGAGGTTTTCACAGCGGAGAGTATGAAGATATCTGTCTTCTGGGTTGTTGCGCTGTGTAGTCTGGTCGATGTTAACCAACGTTTCAGAGGTCTTATTACATAAATTAATTTAAAAAGAAGCACTGACAAGAACCATCCCAAAATATGAAATTAAACAACAAAATTCAACAAATAATTAAGTTAACGTATTGCTACTTGAATGTCTATGCCAAGTAATGCATTATAAAAGAGAAATTGAAGAATAGAGATGCTTATTTTTGCAAGAATATTAAAATACATGTAATTGGAATGTTAGTGAAGTGTTATGTTCTCATGGAGTCTAATCTTTGTAAAATCAATTGTTACTGGGTTCCTGGATTTTAGCTACTGTCTCAGAATTCTGAACAAAATACAACATTTTTGAAAATAAATTTGTTCCTCTCCTCACTGGACCAGTGAATGAGTTTAGCTTTGTCCAACAGACCCGACTGAATATACACTTCCCCACCTCATAACCCAAGGATAGGAAAGATCCAGCTTCCGAAACACGGCTCTGATCAGAATACTAAGATATAGGACAACTCCAAGAACCAAGTGATATTAATTTCGTTATAACATCAAAAGACCCTTTCAGAATTATTCTGTAAATCACTTCAGCCATAAACATTGTTTACAAAGATACAAGATACCAAGTGTCACACCTAACGCAGTACCAAGAAGTTAATTTAAATGGTAATTGCTGTGCCAAACAGTAAAAAGTAATCATTTAAGAAGCATCAAATAATTTGTTTCTTCCTCTCAAGATACCGTACCACTCTACATCCCACTACAAGGTCCATAAGGAAGACTCACCTCAGAAATTTTAGCGACTTCATTGAACGTTGGTCGAATAAAGAGCGGTACTCCATCATTGGTGAAAACATCTCCTATATATATACTAAGAGGTACATCCATTGATAATGATGGGTTCCCTCCATCTTGTGCTCGTACTATCAGATGGTAGGGTTCTGTACGACCTTTGCCAGTAAGGGCCTTTTGTGTTTTGATATGTCCTGTGGTATGATTGATAGCAAACAATCCATTTGCTTCTCCTTCATTTGACAGATCGTAGGTTATCTGTCCTCCACCTCCATCATCAGGGTCCACTGCAGTAACAGTAGTAACATCGGTGCCCACCGCTACATTTTCTGGTACAACTGCCGAGTACATGCGCTTCGTGAACGATGGAGCATTATCATTCACATCTAGCACATCTACTAAAACCTGAAAACATTTTCATTCTAAAGAATATTATGTAACACCTTAATCTGTCTATCATCAATCAGTTTCATAAGCACAGCAGCAAACAAGAATAATACATAAATAAATAAACATATATCGACATATCGTCATCTGTGGATCTACAACCCAGTGCGGGTCTTGGCCACCTCTTTTGGAGGTTATTTAATCTATTTAGACATTTGGACGAGGGATCGGCCCGTCGCAAGGCCTCTACCTGTACACAGGACAGCACAACACATAAAGACGTGGACAAACATCCATGGCTTGAGAGGGATTCAAACCCAAAGTCCCAGTGTCCAAGCGCACAAGTGCGGCCACTATGACCGGCAAATGTATAATATAGAAAATTATATAAATTTTATAAGATTTAACTTTACTTCATATTAACTATTAATTAAAGCTCTCACAGTTGATTCATGCCTGTGCGTTGCACTAAAAATAAATAGTTAAGATTATCAATATATTGCATATAATTTATCATTTTCTGAACTACAGAATCTATGTACATTAAATGTGTCATATTTAACATAAAAATTTCAAACCATCACCAAGTTTTTAATTTTAGTCTTACGAACAATATTTCATATATAATTTGAAAATACATTTAAGATGTATCTTCACATCAAATGAACTTCTACGAAGTACTGAATATAACACGTCGCTTACTTACAAAGATTTTAAATCAGAAAATGTAAGTTCCACTCATCAGGGCAAATTCTTTCATCACCCAGAAATTTATAAATTTATAAATAGCCACGATTTACTTACCACTGCAATAGACTTGCGCTGTTCACTGCCACCTTGAGGAGTGTCTGATGCCACGACATTAAACCTCAATAGCGGCTGCTTCTCCCTATCCAGCGTAACATTTGGAGCAATTTTAACGACTCCTGATACGGGATCAACATCAAACAACGCAGCACTTCCACCATTTAAAGAGTAACGAATAGTTCCATAACCTGTTTTGTTGTCATTTATATCAAGATCATTGGCTTTTACAGTCAATATTTTTTCAGGATATTTTGCAGACTCAAATACTCGGGTTTTATAGCTCTGTAACGTAGACGTGTTAACAAATTACAAGAAGTACAAAATTTTACCTGGAGAAACAGAATAACAAATACAATATTTTATTTTCCGTCTATACACAAACTTAAAATAATGTTGTTTAAAATTACTTAAAATTATAACATTCTCAGTAGATACTGCATCTTGTTACATTTTTTGACGACATGTTTCGATGTGTATTACATCATCCAGTTTTTAAAATATATTAAAATTGATAGACCTGATGATGATGTAATACACATTGAAACATGTCGTCGATACAAAAAATGTAACAAGATGCAGTATCTACTGAGAATGTTATAATTTTAAGTAATTTTAAACAACATTATTTTAAGTTTGTGTATAGACGGAAAATAAAATATTGTATCAATAAAACACAAACATGACGCAATTAAGATATAAAAAAAGAATAACAAATGTACCAGCACTTATAAAAGAACACACTTCTGGAATGTAAAGGCAGCGGAATTTTTTTTGGATATTTGAAGTGTTAATGTACTGATCAAACAGCCCTGTATTTGAACACGTGATTTCACACTAAATCGTTTTACGTCTACAAGCTCCTAAATTATGAACAATTCTTATTTTTGCTTATTTTGAATTTGTTTACATCTTCTTTTACATAATCATAGCCTTCAGTTGTATATATGAGCATTAACTTCACATACTGTCAAATTACATAAAGACAAAAACAAATGAACAACTGAACCAAAAAACATTTTGTTCCTTAATTTTTATTTAGTGCTTACACTGAAGTTACTACATTACTTCCTTCCGCTTAATTCATTAAATTTAAATACAATATAATAAAGAATTGAATTGAATTGAATATGCTTACAAAAAGAATTAGGACCACTTGTATGAAGTATAAAATCAATTTAGGAATTCCTCTGAATATAATTAACTGCAAACTTTAATTTATCTTATTAAAATAGGTACTTAGATTATTATTCATTCTTACCTCTTGAGAAAATTGAGGGCTGTTGTCATTTATATCTTGAACTTCAATAATTACTGTCGCTTCACTCGTCCTTTTGTCATCGTCGCTAATTGCGTGAACTTGCAAACTGAATGACTGAAAGTATATTTAATACTTAAATCAAAGACATTTGATTGTAATATAATATTCACATTAAGAAACTACACAAATTTTAGTTGCAAACAAGAGAGTACTTTTTTTATATAATCGAATCTTATACAAAAAAGGAAATGGCCCTCCTTTGACATTTATGGTGAAACTCGATCGTTAACTCAGGATTCAGCAAATTAATTTCTAAGCAACTTACCTTTTGTTGCAAGCTTTCATAATCCAATCTCTTGTTCAGAATTATGTCTCCTGAATGAGGATCCACGCTAACAAAATCCTGTGCTCCTTTCACTTCTTCAAATTTCGAAATAATCCTCCCATCCAAAGGATCTTTAGCTGACAATGTCATTAAGGTCGCTCCTAAACGCTGTTCTTCTCGTACCGCTACCTTTATGACAGGGTTCGTTGGTGTCCACGTTGATATCGTAAAAACTGGATTGCTGTTATTGTACGCTTGTATATAAATTGTAACCTCAGCTTTTGCAAACTGATCTTGAACGTGTTCGACAGCATTTACGTCATTGGCCTGAATTGTAATGATGATTACAGCTGCTGCTTGATGATCTAATGACTTGGCTACAAACACTTCACCTGTTGTTGAGTTTATTTTAAACGCAGCTTTATAATTGTAAGGAACGATAGATTTCAAAGCGACTCCCGTTCTGTCCGCAGCTTTAATGGGCTCTACTATGGAGTATACCACTTTGGCATCTGAATCTGGATCTACAGCTTTTACTGTCAGTACATGTTCACCTGTTAGAAATAAATAAACATACTTATGTTCAGTTACGTAACATCATTCCTTGTTTTAGTAATAAGTATGAAATAATTGAAGTTAACAAATCATCCTAAAAATATTTATACAGAGTGTCCCCAAAAGATGTATATACATTATTCCTGCCATTCAGCAACTGTACGGAGACAAGGACATGTGATATCAACAAGACGAGGCACCCCCATATTATCGCTGTGATGTCTTGACAACTTTTCCTGACCAATGGATAGGACGCAGAGGATCTACCGGGTACTCCTCACAATTGCCACCTGAGGTTTTCTTGTAGGGTTACTTGAAGGACGCAGTACACAGCACAAAGAGAGTACTGCCTAAAAAGCTCCAGCAAGAAACTGAACAGTCTTATGCAGCCATCCGAGCGGTATCTTTAGTCGCAGTCTGTCAATTAGCTGCTTATCGCTGTCAACTGCGTCACCAGGCTAATGGTGATCAATTTGAACACCTTCACAGGATTCACAAATTATTTGAAAAATCCTGTAGATAGAACATAAATGATCTGGCACCAATTTTGAGACGACTGATCAGCTGTACACTTATGTGGTGGGATCACCACTGCCACCTGCAATTGGTCCATGCAATAAAGTATGGTTATAAATTTTCAAAAAAATACAAAAATCTGGTATAGAAATTCTTTGTAATGGTGGCTCCATGACATAATAAAAAGTGTTTTAGACGACCAGTATTTGATCCTGTAACCGGATGCATATCAGTCCAGTATGCTATCACGAAGCTGATGCACCTTGCCATGCATTTATAAGACCACGTGATTTGTCAAAAGTAAGAAAATTGACATAGAATATTACGTACGCTTAAGTGGCTGTCATCATCTCTCAGCCTGTATTCCATCGAGTCCTAGTCATTTTTGAACAACCCTCGTATTATCTGAATTACTCACCAACTGGAACTCTCTCCGACACGTAGCGAACAAAAGCCGAAGCGTCATTTGCCTGAAAGACGGGAGGCTTGTTGTTCACATCGGTTATCTCTACTGCTACTGTAGCAGTAGCCGTCTCTCTTATTGGCGTACCAGAATCGACGGCATGGACAATTATGTCATAGTGAGAACCACCAGTTTCAAGGTCAAGGCGAGCATCGGGTGACACTCTGATCTGGCCAGATCTAAGACAGGCAGAAAACAAACCTTACACTTAAGCTTGAATCGCATTTCGTTCTAAAAGAAATTTCCTATATTTTGATGAAATCTGTAAGGCATTAACTAAACAAAATGTAGATGCAACTTGTTATTTAAAAATTCAGACTTGGACAAGAACAGAGACTAACTTTTCAGAGCTCTAACAAAGTATATTCTGACGTCAAAAGGCCACTGTAATTGTGGATATAATTTTTTTCAAACCTTTCGTTGATGACAAAGTTGTCTCTAGCACCTCCAGCTATAAAATAATTCAGAAGCGAGTCCTGACCATCGGGATCTGTGGCCATCACTTGCACAACTTCAGTTTCTGGTTCTGCATTCTCTTGTACAGTGGCCGCATAACTTGATGGACCATTTCCAACATTTCTGTTACCACGGAATATAGGTCTTTGGTTGCCTGGTACTCCCACACGAATCAGCACTCGTGTTTCTTCGTGAAGAGGTGGCTTGCCTGTGTGAATAACAGCAGCACAAACCATAAGAATAACAGCAGCACAGACCATAAGAATAACAGCAGCACAGACCATAAGAATAACAGCAGCACAGACCATAAGAATAACAGCAGCACAGACCATAAGAATAACAGCAGCACAGACCATAAGAATAACAGCAGCACAGACCATAAGAATAACAGCAGCACAGACCATAAGAATAACAGCAGCACAGACCATAAGAATAACAGCAGCACAGACCATAAGAATAACAGCAGCACAGACCATAAGAATAACAGCAGCACAGACCATAAGAATAACAGCAGCACAGACCATAAGAATAACAGCAGCACAAACCATAAGAATAACAGCAGCACAAACCATAAGAATAACAGCAGCACAAACCATAAGAATAACAGCAAACAAATATTATAAGCTAAAGTTTCTTCTTATACCCTTTTATCTCCTACGTGTAGCATAGAGGCCCCATTTCAGAGATTTCTGATCTATTTTTAGACATTTGGTAGGGACTTCTTGGACGAGCGATCAGCACAGACAAAGCATCAGGTATGACAATTGGAAAAACTAACTAATAATGAGGTCACAGACATAACAAATGATTTTTAATATTCTGAACACCGCTTACCATATTTAAACATCGCTGTACACGTAGACCTATCTCGTTACTTCTCAGATTGTTTCATACCACGGAAAAGAGACATTACTTGAACCTTGCTTACAGATAATTTCCTCAGTTGGTAACTAATAAAAAGTGGCAATTTTATTGCTATCTACAAGAAAATAATTACTACAAATATTTATTATTGGGGGTCCGCAGTGGCCGCGCAGTCGCTGGGACCTTGGGTTCGAATCCCACTCAAGCCATGGATGTTTTTCTGTGTTGCCCTGTCCTGTGTACAGGTAGAGGCCTTGCGACGGGCCGACCCCTCGTCCAAGGAGTCCTACCGAATGTAAATAGATCAAGCCAACTAATAAAAAGTTGGGGACCCGTAAAGGGTACCGGAAAATGTAGAAACATTGTTAAACCGGAAAAAGAAGAATAAATATTTATTATTTACCTGCATCCGTAGCTCTGATCATCAGTTCATACTGGCCACGTGGTGTATCAGATGAGTTGACTGGAGAATTCATTTTTACTTCTCCGCTGACGGGCTCCACAAAGAACACATCCCTATCAACATTAGATGACTGGATACTATAAAATATTTTCCCCCCACCTTGATCTGGACCATCAGCATCTATTGCCTGGAATCCCAAAAAAAAATACAATGTAACACTTTTCAAAACAACTTATTTTTAAAATAATTATAGAACCGTGTCCTTGCATAAGCCAATCAAGAAAGTGATCACCAAATAAAGTTTTGGCTTGTAAACTAATGAAACGAAAGACATACCATCATTTTTACAATATTCCCAGACGAACAACGTTCTCCATGTGGCCAACATTTATTCATGCACAATGGTTGACATTATAGTGTATTTAACAATGTTTTATAAACATCTGACGACGAGCAGAACTATATAATATGTGAATATGATAGTGAATTGAATCGCTGGAATGGTAATGAACAATTTAATGACCTACTTGAAGGTATTAATAACTGCATGTACCTAGAAGTCCACATAACATTACAACTCAGAAGAAAATTATATCTTCGCCGCCATGAGAACCTCGAATCTTTACGAGTAATAGATCGGAGATGCATAGAAAGAGAGGGAACATTTAATTTCAGTACAAGAGACAGAGTCAGAAATTTCAAATTACAGAATGAGATCGTATGGACATGTTTTAAGATTGAAGAGAGATTCCCCAAGAAATTATTCTGAATATGAAAGTAAAAGGAGAATGTCCAAGTAAGAGACACATTTTTTTACCCGTGGCGTAACAGTCCTCCGAGAGCCAAAGCCGACTAGCTTGACTGCTGGCCTCACGTCCACATGCCTAAGCAGAGGTGAACGATCATCCGACCAGATAGAGGATGACGTGTGGTCAGCACGATGAACCCCCAGCCATTGCTAGTTTTCATGACTGAATTACGCTACTCATTGTAGCTCCCCAATTTCCTCACGATGCTGGGTTGGCACCGGCCCCAAACACCGGTCGAAAATCTGAACAGAAATTCCTTCCCCCGAGACTCGAACCACCGGTCCGAAGCATGATGCCTCAGACCGCGTGGCTACGGTGCGGGACAAGAGAGACATACAGATGGGAAAAAGAGGTTAGAAATGATGTCACATGGTAAGAAGGGAGAGCATGGGAATGAACTGAAGAGAAGCTGTGGGAATACAGCGATAGAAGAAGTGGTTCGGTTGTCAGACGTACATAAAGCGTAAATATCTTAAGAAGAGGACGCTGATATTAGTGAGGTCAGTCATTTACCCAATAATTTCAAATCATTGGTCTCTTTCAGACAGCCTATGCATCTCGTCACTTAAATATGTTCGACATTCCACACAGCATTCGATTTAAAGGAGATGACAGAAGTTTAAATGCGTAGCTTACAAATATTTTAATTTTTCTCTATTTTCCTCCTAAACATTTTAATATATTGACGTTAATTGACAGAATGATTTGGCATTAAAATCTTAGTTCCTGTGTAGTTAGTGTGAGAGAGTCATGTAAGGTATTGCAATAAGCAACTCAGAAAATGCACTCACCCTAACAAATAGTTGAGGTTGAAAGCTAGTTGCTCCTTCCCTCACTGTACGGCCGTATTCCCTCTGTTCAAAAACAGGTGCGTTGTCATTAACATCCTCCACTTCCACAAACAGATTTGCTGTTGAAACACGTCCTCCACCATCACGAGCCTCAAAGGTTAACGAATATGATTTTTGGGTTTCATAATCTAAACCTGTAATTAAGGGTGACAATAACAAGCAGCAACTTAAGGATAAAAAAAAGAATATTTTGTCTTCCCGTCTGATTTCTAAGAACCTGAAAATTAAAGTATACGAAACAATAATTTTGCCTGCTTTGTATGGGTGCGAAACATGGTCTCTCACTCTGAGGGAGGAACGCAGATTGCAGGTGTTTGAGGAGGATATTTGGGCACAGGAAATGGCTTAACTATAAAAAAAAGTATATTTCTATAGGACTCATTTATACACCTGGACCCTTAGAAAGTTGGGAAATATTACCTACCTGGAGAAGATTTAGCCACATATAAACCTCCTTCTTTTGATTGCGTATAAAACTTCTCAGATCCAAAGCCTTTGATAGAGTAAGTTACGCTACCAAACTCTTTACTGTCTACATCTTTTGCAGTGATGTTAGAGATCAATGACCCCGGACGAACATTCTCCAAGACACGAATACGATACGCAGACTGAGGGAAGACGGGAGAGTTGTCATTTGCATCGACCAAATCAACAGTTACTCGTGCACTGGCCACTTCCACATCTAAGTCCTGTCACAGAAACAAGAAATTCATTACTCGTAAATTCTTAATGACTCAACACACATTCCTGCATATTAAGTTATTAGAAGAAGATTTCTGTCTTCTGGGTTGTAGCCTCTGCGTCCAGACCGGCTCCGGGGCCCACTCAAGCCTCCTGTCCAATGGGTACCGGGGTCCTTTGCCAGGGGTCCAGCACGGCCGGGGCGTGATGCCGACCACTCACCCCCATCTAGTGCCGAGTTCAAGAACGAGTAGGAGCTATACCGTCTCTCCCCCCAAGCGCCTACATGGCGTTACTTTAGATTTTGGTTTTGTTTCTATAATTCATCTGATAAAAACTTACATCCCGTCTCTCTCTCACCACTCTCGTTCCACCTCGAACCTTTAAATATCCTAAATCTTATGAAATACCATTCAATGTTATGATATGATCATTTCGTGTAGTACGAGAACCAAATTGGTATTTTCCAATAAAATTAAAATGTGAGTTGGTAGGACCACAGCTGTAGAAATGTTACAGCCGTTACGTATGGAAATATGTTACAATATCCTGACACATTAAGTTTCAACCTCCAACTGAGTTTTATCAACCTCCTTAGGCCAATCAGCTGTGAATAATTTTATAAAAATTCAAAAAAAAACATAAAAAAAATTAGCATGTAGCAGGTTATCGACCCGGAACACGTTAATTGCGTTATTTAGACCGGCGTTCTCCTCTTCCTCTCGTAGGTGCGCAGTTCTTTCCGAAGTAACCAATAAGCTTACAGTTTCCTTCCTGCTTTCCAATATATAATTAAAATATTTTATATGCATCCCAGTTTATCTTAGGTTCGTTGTTAAGCAGTGACCAAATTTGAGTCCGTCTGGTACAAAAAAAATTAGTTACATCAAAAGAAATTTTTTTTTAGTGTGTACATACCTGCTTCCCCTTAACCACCGCCACAACATCAAACACAATTTTTCTAAGGGAAGGATCTTCCACATCATAGTCCAATCCTTTAACATTTGCAACTCTTATTACGACCGGAGTACGTCCAGTCGCAACTGATGGGTGTACCGTGAACGTTCCAGCTGAATTTTTTACGTCGCGAAGTTTTAAAGTATAGCGAGCATTCTCTCCTACGTCACGGTCATTAACGACCATATTCAGGCCTGGTAAAGGTGTGTCAGCACCTAGAAATATTAAATACCTCAGAGTTTTTCCAACCATCAACATACTATGGAAACGGCAGTCATACGTATAATAGTCAGTGAGAGAATATTTTATTAATTCTACTACAATTTTATGATTTCATATTTCTCAAATACCTACGCTGAAACTATACACTTAGTTATGAAAACAATTACTCCATACACACAGAAGAACTCAATCTAGGTCTAAAACTCGAAATGATGATGATGATGCACCTATACGAACTGTAGCTTACATATTTTATTATCTTTACTTACCAATATCTTCTGACACGCTAATGTGAAAATTATCCTCGTTAAATACTGGAACCTGGTCATCTACGTCTGTAATAACAATTGTAACTTGTGACGTAGCCGTGTCCCCGGGAAGTTCATTATTTATTAACTCCGTGGCCTGGAAAGGGAAGAAACACATGAAGGTTTTCTACTTACGTGCCTCCGAACTTTCTCGTAATAATAAACGAGTACCATAAACCTCAAAAATACATCAGGATTCAGAGTCTTTTGTTAGGACACAAATTTTGGTCTATATTTAAGGGCAAAGAATTATATTTACATCGTATCAAATAATCCTAAAGAATACTGATGCTAATTTATTAGATTTTTAGACTTCATCCATCGTCCTACGTTCTCCACGCAGAACACTATGTTTCCTGAGGTAAATCTACTCCCATCCTTCGATGAAAGGTACATGCTCAGGTAATCACCTTTTTCTTTATTACAGGAGGTTGGCGACATATTACGAACAGGATCCTTCCATCCTTTTCTCGGACTGGGACCTGTTCATATACGTTCTTGGCAGATGATCCAGAAGTGGTTTGCCATTGCCTTCTTCTGTGTGTGAATGGAGTAATTGTTGGGATGCCACAGAGAAACCGGGGAAGCCCCCGGAGGAAAACTCCGGGTTGCCTAGACCACGGCCTTGCCCAACACAAGTTATAAATTCGGGCACCGCCGGGAATCGAACCCGACACCCCAGGATTACAAGGCCAGCGTTCTAACCACTAGACCACCGTGGCGGAAATTAAATGAAGTGTTCTGACTGTAGAATATAAGATAGATGGAGCCCAGAAGCTATCAGTACCGATCACATTGCACCACTTAGAATGTTTACGTGTTAAATGCTTTTATAGAATCACGTAGCAATGAAGTGTTTAGCACTCGCAAGGTAAAACAAGTCAAGAACGGAAAGCAAGAGCAGAATTGTTAAAGAACTGTGAAAAACAGACAACTCTTCGTAAGTTCATGCGGGCAATTAAAAAAGGCCATTAGATATAGAGACAACAGAAATTAAATTTTTGATAAGTAACTGAAAACACATTCAGAAGCCACAAGAAATACAAGAATTTTACAAAATCAGATGTAAAATTTCAAAGAATTTACAATTATAAAGTGTCAAATTTTTATTGGAAACAGAAACACTAGAAGATTATGAGAAGACAATCAGATCAAATTAAAGACGGGGCCAAAGCAGACCAACGAGACGAGACCGCAAAGTTCATTACGTATATTTACGTGATAAAAACAACACAAATCAACAAACAATTTTATTTAATTTCTGAAATTAGAAATCTGTTAATTTTTTTAGTCTATACAAATACCAATATATTCAGTGTTAAGTTTTTGTTGTCAATTAATTAATACTTTACGAGTAAAATATTACGCAGAGGTTTTGCTATTATTTCAGCACACTGATATGACTCGAAGCCAATATGAACGTACTTACTTTAACTGAAAAGACATAAATTCCGCCATTCTGAAAAATGTCTGGATGTTCCCTGTCTATTGACTTATTAGACGTAACTAAGTCAGCGACAGAAACTGCGCTGGTCGGACTGTGCGCGTATTGAACCAGCGAGAAGTAACCAAGCACGTCGCCTTCGATAGCGAGCGTCACGTTCCTCGGATCGCCCGAGTCTCCGTCCCTTGCTCGGATGTTCAAGACAGATGTGCCCTGGACACAAAAATGGTCGTGCCATCGAAGTATCTCAGTTTTATCCGTCGGAACACGATATTTCAACGTCTTTGGGTGAAATTATATTTTATGATACGTGGCAAGTATTTCGCTAGAATTATTTCAATATGTTCCTTTAAGCTGTACATTATATTTCACTCTTATTTTATTCTTTACGTCAGACTGAACTACTCATGAAAATATTTACTATAATTACACTCCGTGATTTATATTTGCATTAAAACTGGTGGTTTAACGATACGAGGAAATAAAATATTTCTGCAATTAAAAACTGTTGTGTTTTGACCGATAAGACCAAGATACCTTATCGAGTAAAACACTAGTCCGTCATAAATCAAAAAAAGTGAAAAATATTTATGACATAAGCAAATCAGGTAAAACACTCGTATAGCTAGCCATTTATCGGACCAAATTTACAAAAAAAAAAACATAATTTTTTTCTTTGACGCTTACAGGTGCTGTGCCTTCAGCTACGGTTGCGGAGAAAGGAGAATTCAAGAAGACAGGAGGTTGGTCTTGAATGTCCATCACATCGATAGCGACATTAGCAACTGCTGTCAACCTCGCGGAAGATTCGGAGGCCACGTCGGTCGCCTTCAATACCAGACTGTACCCTGCACGTTGCTCGTAGTCCAGGGGCTTCAGAAGTGAAATTATGCCCACGTACTCTCCCTCAGTTATCTGAAACATTTTAATAACAGCAATTCACACTTTACTTTTATTGTCAAGTCATTCATGTGCGATGTAAGACATTTTATTCAAGGAGAAATAATAGCACTGAAATTTATTAAAGTCATTGACGACCAAAAAAGACAAATCCAAATTTGACACAGCTGATCATCGAAGAAGATTCAACACAAAAGCATCAAGACTTATACAGATTAACCAAATGTCCAGTTTTATAGCTTTAAAGAGGTTAACGATATCAACCCTTAATTACAGTACTTAAATTAACTGTAATTTGACCACATCAAAGCCCAATAATTTAAACATTTTTCTTTATATTAAATCTGAATGTGTAAAACTTGACGGAGGGCATAAAATGTTATTATATTAGGTACGCAAAAAGTGTTATTTAATATAATAATTATTAACTTTGATATGAGCCAAATACATCAAGTAAAGGAACGTATAAATTCATTTATTGTCTATAAGAGTCAAAACTGGATTATATGGTCAAAAGTATAATTTTATTGTTAAATTTTAGAGTCAAAACTGGATTATACGGTCAAAAGTATAATTTTATTGTTAAATTTTAGAGTCAAAACTGGATTATACGGTCAAAAGTATAATTTTATTGTTAAATTTTAGAGTCAAAACTGGATTATACGGTCAAAAGTATAATTTTATTGTTAAATTTTAGAGTCAAAACTGGATTATACGGTCAAAAGTATAATTTTATTGTTAAATTTTAGAGTCAAAACTGGATTATACGGTCAAAAGTATAATTTTATTGTTAAATTTTAGAGTCAAAACTGGATTATACGGTCAAAAGTATAATTTTATTGTTAAATTTTAGAGTCAAAACTGGATTATACGGTCAAAAGTATAATTTTATTGTTAAATTTTAGAGTCAAAACTGGATTATACGGTCAAAAGTATAATTTTATTGTTAAATTTTAGAGTCAAAACTGGATTATACGGTCAAAAGTATAATTTTATTGTTAAATTTTAGAGTCAAAACTGGATTATACGGTCAAAAGTATAATTTTATTGTTAAATTTTAGAGTCAAAACTGGATTATACGGTCAAAAGTATAATTTTATTGTTAAATTTTAGAGTCAAAACTGGATTATACGGTCAAAAGTATAATTTTATTGTTAAATTTTAGAGTCAAAACTGGATTATACGGTCAAAAGTATAATTTTATTGTTAAATTTTAGAGTCAAAACTGGATTATACGGTCAAAAGTATAATTTTAGTGTTAAATTTTAGAGTCAAAACTGGATTATACGGTCAAAAGTATAATTTTATTGTTAAATTTTAGTTAGAATCATAAACTTTCCGCTGTAAATGTTTGTAACAATTATGTAGGATACATTTACCTTCTCCGTTGCCACATCGAACGTTGAACACGCATCTTCATTATCTTTATCCGCAGCACAGCTTAAGATAATATCAGCATTAACTCCTCCATCTTTGTCAGTTATCGTAATGTTGCTGAAGACAGTCGTCCCAACACGTGTAGTCTCGGCCACAGCGAATGAATAAGGACGACCTTGAAATTCCGGTGCATTGTCATTGACGTCCAGAATTGGGATCTCTCGACGCAGAGACACCGTGTTGGGTTCGGATCCTGCAATTCCCTCATCTGAAATTAAAACGCAATAATTAACCAGATCAGTAGCAGGAAGGAAACTTCAGAATAATGCAAAAGTACAGAAGTTTACTCTTAGACTTTTGCTGGTTCCTGATCAAAGAAAATATTACAGTTTGATCAAATTTGTACTACCAACACACAGTAAGTTCTCCTCCATTGCAGCGGACAGATTCTTCGAGAATGTCATATTAGGTAAATCCATGTAGGATTTGAGGTTTTCACGGCAGAGTCAGAAGATGGCTGTCTTCTGGGTTGTTGAGCCATGTAGTTGCACTGATGACTGAGGCAGCATGGACCTCTGAAAGTTGGTTAAACTTCTACCAGACTACATGGTGCAACAACCCAGAAGACAGAATCCGTGTTTCAAAAAACACTGAAGATGGAGATAGTATGTTTCTACAAAACGTTGGTATCAACCTACCTCAGATATGTAGGTCAAATCCAAGATTTCATGCGAGATTTCTCTTGTAGACGAAGTAGCAATGGCGGAGAAGATTTCGTAAGTTTTACCTCGATACTCATCTACCACCATTCCGTGAGTCACAACCCCACGAGGTGAGCAAAATACCCTGACATGCAGTACATTATCAAACCCCTGGTCTAAAGTAAGTGATTTGTTTTCCTTTTTATAGGACGTGAAGCTGGTCACTTAACTCCACCAAACGCTAAAACTGAGTCTATACATTTTAATATTATACTCGTACTATATGCATTATTGTCATTTTTGTGGTATAAAGAACTGTGACTGAACTGGGAGAAACCAGAATTTTGTTAACTCTCCCGTCTTTTTTTTCTGTAACAAATTCAAGCTATTACAAAATTAATTACAAGACAATTGACACAAATTACCAATTTTTATAAGTAGGCTAATAGACAAACCTGTAATGCTTATTATGACTTCCACCAGATCAACAGATTCCCGATCCAATGGCCTGAGTAATGAAACAATTCCTGATTTACGATCTACTGTCAACTGTTCTCCACTGATGCTGTAATGCACACTAGAGCCTTCTGGATCGAGTCCTCGCAATCGATATACAGGCGTGCCAACTTTGGTATCTTCAGGTAGTGAAAACCTTGCCATATCGCCTCCAGGCAGGAAGTGGGGAGCACGGTTTATTAAAGATTGAGCTTCCACGCTCAAACCCCACAAGAACAGCAGAAGATAAAACCATAAAATTCTTGGTCTTTCTTGAGAATTCTTCATGTTTGGCAAAATGTTATGATTCCCCATAATTCTTCTGAAACAAACCAGAGACAATCTTCAGATTGAAAAAAATATTGTAAATAATTTACAAATTTTGGGAATACGCTCCACAGAATGGTGAAGATATGCTGTTTCAGCAAACACTGTATGGAGACTTTTGAATCATCCTGTATATTGCATACTGAAACAATTAATACACTGCATTCACAAAATAAATGAGGAAATTCGCATAAGAACTTCCCGTGAGAAAGAATTTTCTTGTTACCAAAGTAATTCACACGTATGACTTCTGTTGCAGGTCTAGTCTAGATTATTTTAATATGATAGTGGATTAACATGGAAAATAAACATTCATTTCAGTCCATTACGTAATCTTATTAATACACGTTTTGACACACTGTGGTATTTCAAGTTATATTCTTCCAAAAAACTTCCCAAACAATTTGAATGTTTTCTGTTTCGGTCAGATGTATAGAAGACCTTGTCAGTCTCTTGTAGTTCATTGTCTGGCGAAGAATACGAGTCCATTGTAAGCTAGTCTCCTTTTAAGTCCGATATCCTATTCGGCTTTTCGATTTCAAACATCTCTGTTATTTTTTTTGTAAACTGTAAAACGAATAAATAAGATATAATAAATTAATACACACATTTCCACCTAACAAAGCCAGTCAGTTCCTTTTTTACGTGAAAAGGAAACACAACTCGAACTCTGGACGGATTACGCAGACCAGAAAGTTGTTGATGGATAAATAACCCTGTATGAGTCATGACCTCCGTAATGAAAGCTACCATGTTCGAGTTGAGGACAGTATAACAGATTCGACGTTCTGTAATTTGCCTGTAATGTCGGATTATTTAACAAAATTGTAACAACTGCAGAATTTATTTAACATGTAATCAGTGTGATTGTGACGTATGGTAAATTTTAAGAGGTCGTGGCTTATTTAAAGTTACACAGTACAAGGCGGTGTTCCGTCCGAGATTCGAACCGGCTACCTTTCCAACATTAAACCTGACCCGTGGTACCGACACGTTCAGTTCACATGAACTAGAAGTTGTCCTTGTTCTGGATGTTGAAAGCGACAAACGAGACGTGTTTTCCAACGCCAGGATGTGGGCCTGTGGATGTTCCAGTGGCGTCACTAGCCCGTATGAGAGAGAATTGACAAGAGGTCGTTCACACGTTGCACGCGCGTGCGCACTAACGCACCGCTACCTGCACCAGGAAGCAGTAGTGACCGCCATAGAGCACACAAGATTAACGGATGACCTACCGTAAACACTGCCCTACAGTTTCCTGCTAACAGCACTTCAGTCCGTACTCCATTCGACCACAGCTGGAGTAACCATCAGCAGAGTCTGCCTACGGACTGAACAACTTAGCTTCGAGGCTTTCAACTTCATCACCACGTCCAAAATGACTCTGAGGCCCAACTAGCCTTCTGTTTAAATGGTACTGTGATGGAGGATGTTTGTCTTCGAGAGGATAAAACGACCGGAACTTGAAGCTAACAAATGATCTAGCTACCGAGACGTACTGTCTTCATCTTCAGTGTACTGAACGGTGGATGAAGTCCTCAGAAACAGGGGATACCGAATGTAGGTTAAGAATGTTTGTCCCCATTCCCCTACAGGTCTCCATGCCGCGGTGAAGTTTATTAATTCGTGAGGACACTGAACAAGATGACCCAACGATGACTAGCCGATCTGTGCCAAGAAAGACCCGGTTCAGCTAACGATCAGTATTTCCACACCATTTCCAGTTCAATAACAATTTGTACCAGTAGAACGTACATCTTACGCTTGTAAAGTCAATGGCTTAAATAAGAGAACTGAGCAGAATGTTCTTTTACCACTGACGGAATATCAACTTATATTTTTGTTTTTGCTAAACTAAGGGTTCATCGTAACAAATCCTCAGATGACCTGTTCCCCTGCTTCGTTTTTAACATTCACCCTGATGATGGAGGCAGTATGGCCTCTGAAACGCTGGTATAGTCGGCGCAGTAGTTTTTGGCCGGTGGAATTTTCAAGGGGAAGGCTAGGAGCGAGTCTGTTGTGCGATAGTATAAAGCTGACTGCACCGAGGAGCCCAAACAAAAGAAATACGCTGACCGTGCCACCTCAGGTACACAGAGTAGGCCCGTCCGCCAGCCAAAAACTACTGCGCAGACTATATACATCGACGAGACTACACAGCGCAACAACCCAGAACACAGAAAGTTCCAAATTGTTTCTTTCGCCCATGCTTTCTGACTAACACTTTCAACTAAATCACTTAGTAATACACAATATATTGAAAACTGACGAAATTTCGTATTTCTACAACCCCCATCTCAATATAACATTTAATAGCAACAAAATTAAAAACTCTACCTTACAACTGACCTCATTTTCACTTAAGCGGGTTTTATCAACATCACGTCTTCCCAGTAACCTCCATAATTACACTAATTAGAACCAGTCATGTAGTGTCACTTCAGCTGGGAGAGATTTAATCGCAGGGATAAGAAATTTACTTACGATAAGCGCAGTTCCACGTTCTTGCTTGTATTGAGATTTCAGAGCGATAAAAAAAATGTTCGTAATAGTGAAGATATTTAATAGAACGAGAGAAAGTGAGATGTGGCGACAGAACCAAATGTGTACACACGTGTAATTATATGTTAGAGACAGCACTAACCAACATTCATAACCACCATGAGAGAAACGCAGGTGAATTTGTTACGAAGAAGACGATATCAAGGCTACCAACCAATTCACTTGGCATTCTTTAAGCCCAGTTTCAATTCCCGCTCGCTCTGTAATCAAATGCTATAATTTAAAAAGGTCTAGTAACAAATACTGTATACATGTCAAAAACTCGTAATTTTGTACTTGAAATATCAGTTTCACATTCCATGACAGGATTTTAAAAGTAAGTGTCAAGAAATATATATACGTATATGACAACAATGTTACAGATTCTAAAATACTGTCACAACTGATGAGTTGTTTCAGCTTCACATGTTACAGTGTTGACAATTCAGCAAACTCTAATTTAAAGCTTGGTTCCATACGTAATGAATTAAGTAAACAAATTACAGCTTTAATATTTTAATAAGAAGCTTTTACGAAAGCTTGCAACACCTGCACAACACCAATGAATGCATTACTGAGATATAATACGAAAACCAAATGGTAAAACTGATAAAAAGTTAAAAACCGTTGTTACATGCAAAATTCTCATGTCAGTTAATGCAGTAAGATATATGTATTTCAATTAGCAGTGGCACAATGAGCTTCTCTTTCTTATAATTAGAGTATCTTTGTTTAAAAATGGTGGAATTAAAATCATTCTACTGTCCACGAAAGTGAGTAAAAATTCCTTCAAAACACAAAATACTTTTATAGAAAGTATGTACCTGCTAATACGCTTAATTGCATTGTTTCAAAAAAACACGGTTCATTAGTCTGTGCAGAAATGTTCACACAAATTAATTTCATTATGTGTACGTTTCTAATCTAAAGATTTCCTTACCCTAGAAAGTCATCCACCGTTTTAGACTTCGGTTCCCTGCGTCACGGTCTTGCAGGTATGAAGCGTTGAGAGAAAACGGTACTTTCAAAGGATTCCTGATAACACACTGCACTATAATTTCTAGGAACCCATCACACAAACGGCTTTAAACACATAACACTACACCATTCTCATATTCATAACATTACTATAATGCTTCACACGTCTGATTACTTCTCTTTCTAATGTTGTAAACGCAATAAATACACCCATGATTCAGGATGTTGGCATTTCCATCTTGGCCACTCCACAGGTTAGTCTTTGTAAGTCGATGCCAGAGCTACCTGCTGGCAGCCAGGTAAAAATGAAATGGTCGGTACGCGGTGGGGGAAGAGAGGGGGAGGGGTAAGCGCGAGGCCGAGGACAACTGGTCTTTTACTGATTTCAAGCGTAGAATAAAGCAACAATCAATGCAATAAATATAAAACTTCCTGAATAGTATTTTGCTTTTTAGTTTGGAATAAACTCTGTAAAAACTGAGGAGTTGATTATGACTTTTATGTATTATTTGTCGAAAAGTATTTTGTTCCTTAGATACAGTTGGCGTTTAACAAATGACTATCGCCTACGCGTAAATTTAGACCTGTAGGTTGGTATGACGCGTAAGTTTACTAAACAGAAGAACATTTCTGACACGAAATAAGTATCTCATTAAGATTTTTAAGACTTTCGTTCGAAATAATTTACTTCTTGGCTATATTTTAACGAAATTATCGTATTTAACATACAGATTAAAACTTTTTAACAAGCAATCTGACCACAGTCAATACTAGAACGCACACTACACACACATAAGTTCGAATTTGAAAACACGTAACGAAAATAATCTCTTGTCATTCTCACTGCACTGAAGGTCTACTGGAATATCAATTGATATCCACGTAACAGCTGTTAGCAGAATTCTTGTTCCATTCGATATGTGACCTGGAAGGAACAGGACGGATACATGAATGATGCACTTTCCACATTAACAGCAAATTGAAAGCATTTTTACGCTCAAATAACTGACGACAGCCTTACAATAGAAAGGAAAGATATATCACACGACAATGTTAAGTTTGGCTGCTAGCCTGTCGACAACTGTTACGAGGAAAAGAATTATACCAAAAAGTAAGTAAAATTAACTCCATTTCTTGTATTTTATTGTTCCTGGATGTTCATTACCGTGTTCACAAGAGCATGTCATTCTCGTTAATTTAATCATCTTAATAATATTTAGTGAACAGAACAATTCTTTGGAAACTGTTTCTAGAACTTGAAAGTAAGTGTTGCCAACTGGTTTCTTTCGAAATACTAAACTTTTACGCGGAGACTTCCTGGTTTCTTTCGAAATACTAAACTTTTAAGCGGAGACTTTTTGTGTTTACCGGGACCAGAATTCAAGCTATAACAATCGAAATTTTGCTTCAAAGACAGGACACAATCTTGACATACAAAAATATGTATTACATTTGTAGCTTCTGACTTACGACTTTTCGGTATTAACAAAATAAAAGAGTTAAAATATAAGCACGCATTTCCACGTCTGATATTTGAAATAAATTCAGAAACCGATCAACTGTAACGTTATCGAGAGGGGTCCTTTTCAATATATGAATGGGGGTATTGAAGAGGGATGAATTTTAAGCTAGATACTTTCAAACACATGATTTCTATATTCATTCTGGGCGGTAAAACCAACCCCTTGTTATACAATACGTTAGAAATATGAAAAGAGAGTACTAGTTACATAACCCTTTATGATATGTATACAACGTCACAATGGTTTCTTAGCAACAATAGGTTTGAATAATGAAAACACGACTATATTTTCATATATTCAAAAGTTAAGGGGGGGGGGGGAATAATGGCGTACATGAACTTTCGAAACTGGAAAATATCAATTACATGAACCAAAGATATAAATTATTGAACATCAGAGAGGAGGTGTGCTATTTTATAATATACAATCGATGTTTTTATTGTTCATTCCGCGTTCGTGTATTAAATTTCTACGTTTCAAACTTCTAAAGAGAGAACTTTATAAACAAATACGTAGAAGCAAGATATTGCAATCATCAATCCAACGAAACATAAAGCAATCAGACATTCTTAGTGTTTCAATGGTACAAACATGAAAGCATTTGGAACTTTTAAGACCGGGCTTTATAAGTCAGACGCAGTTGGGTAATGATAAATTATAATTGTGGTCTAGCGGTTAGAACGCTGGCCTTGTAATCCTGGGGTCTCGGGTTCGATTCCCGGCGGGACCCGAATTTATAACTTGTGTTGGGCAAGGCCGTGGTCTAGGCAACACGGAGTTTTCCTCCGTGGCATCCCAACAATTACTCCATTCACACACACAGAAGAAGGCAATGGCAAACCACTTCTGGATCATCTGCCAAGAACGTATATGAACAGGTCCCAGTCCGAGAAAAGGATGGAAGGATCCTGTTCATATGGACCTGTCGTCAGACAGAACACTAAATAAATAAATAAAAGCAGTCTGTGATTTGGATAATTTGCTAAACAGCGCCGGTCTCTTGTTTAAGTGGTGTTAATTACTAATTAACTCAATAAATCAAAGACCTTTTCGGGAAATTAAGAGTCAGGAAAAGGAATTGGAAGGTTACTTACAGTGTTCACAACAAAACTTATCCAGAGCCATATTAATCTTATTTTTGATCTATATTAATATTGTCCCATTTACGTCGAGTTATTCCAAGTTGTTTCTTTCGTTATAGGCATGTAAGAGAGATTTATATCTTCTAATCCGCGTGTCTCTAAAACCAGAAAAGAATTAACGCAATTATTTCTAGACTGCAGTCTTCGCAATAATTGTGGCTTAACAAAGTCTGGTAAAAATGAAACAGAATTAAAATATTTATGTTTACGGGAGAGTCACTTATAAAACGATGAAGGTCTTAGCATTAACCACACAATGTCTTAAATTTGTTCAGAACTAACTCATAAAATACACGAAAACAATTATTAAGAACAAATTGTTAAAATTAACAACTTACATTTCCAGTTGAACTGTTATTATTATTATTTAGTATTATTTATTTTATTAAATTGAATTATATTAATTAGGTATCATATTTAGCCCATTTACTTGTGAAATATTATTCAATAAATGAATCGAATTATTATTAATATTGTACATTTATATATTTAAATTCATTTGTTTGTTTTACTTTTATTATTATTGAAATAAATAAATAAATTAATTTTTATATTTTATCCTGTACTCTGGTTTAGTGCTTGGCTGTTATTGGCCTTATTTGGCTGTAGTAAAGAACTTAAATAAATGAATTGAATTGAATTATTATTGAGATGATAAAGTTGCGTCATATTGTGATAAATATATATTTGTTTAAATCTTGTCAGTCTAATCACAATAAAATTCCTATTAAATATTAAAATATTACTATATATATTTTAAATATTTAAATGTTAATTATAGTAATATTTTAATATTTAATAGGAATTTTATTGTGATTAGACTGACAAGATTTAAATAAATATGAATTATTATTATTATTAAGAAAATTAGAAACGTGTAAGAGTCTCTTACTGCTCAAAAACACGACTGTTTCATTTGCACAGGGTAATAGAATATAAAATGTTTTGGAATTAAGTCATTTTAAGAATAAAGCCAAGAGAAAGTTATTGACAGTGTAAATACATTTTTGTAGACTGTCCCAAAACCACCTAATTTGAAAAAAAAATGTGTCCACAAGTTCCTATTTTGAATGATATAATACAATTTTCGGTATGGACGTGTCCAAGGAATAACAGACGACAGAAACGGTACCAGAAGTGATTTCACCAGGAGGACGGAATAGATGAAGACAGACAGACAGACAGATATAAGAAAGGAATCAGAGCTAAAAATAGAAGAAAACTATTTATATTCACATTTAAACATATTAAAACACGTAATTGTTTATAATTGATCTAGAAGTGGATAACTTTCTGATATTTAATGGACATTCTGACGAAGGATTGCATTTAGAATATTACATTTGAATTTATATCGATTATACACCTGAAGATGGTTCATTGAAAACCGAAACATGTCGTGAAAAAGATGATGCTCTAATTGTAAATCGAACATTTCGATAGAAAGATCATCATTTTAATATATTTTAAATATTTTAAATATTAAATGTTAATTGTAGTAATAATATTTTAATATTTTAATATTTAATAAAATATTTTATTGTGATTAGACGGTTAAAATTAAACAATTATAATTCATCACAATATGACGCAACATTATCATCTCATAAAACACGTAAGTTTCGAAAAGGGAGAATAGAAAACAGCACGGAAACCACCCCAGAGCTGTATTTATATTTCCGGTAGATGGCATTATGTGACGTTCTACCCAGTTGTGGAAATTGCTAATACATTTTACGTGAAATATCCGAGGGTCTGTGCGTTAACTGTTAACAAACACAGGGGTAGTACGAGTCTTTGAGAGTAAACCTGATAAATCTCAGTGACTATAAATTACGCACAAAATGTATAATGAAGAGGTTCTCTCGTAATTTTATAACAGCACAATTTTTGTGGGGAAAACACAACGGAACGGATTACTTACGAGACATAAAAGAATACAGAAAGTTAGTATAAGACTGCATCTTAGAGAATCTCTGTGTGGAGCTACAATTTAAATTCCTATTCATTTTGGGGTGCATCATTAAACACTGCGCCAATTTTTTTTTCTTTTATATATTGTACTATATCGCCAGAATACAAAGCGTCTTTGTTCTTAATCTTTAATAAACATTTCATAAGACATAGGAATAATATAACGCACATTATGTAGAAGAAATTCGAAATTTTTTAAGTCCCTTTGATTAAAAATTTTCTGGGATATTTTCCATTGTCTAAGAAATAATAAAATATAAAAACGACGTTTCGGAGATGGGGCTCTATTTATTCAGGTACCTACTCTGTTAGACCCAATAGATAGAGCTAATCCCTATCTCCGGAGAAAGTAAAAAGTGAAAGTAAGACATTTCTTTTTCTTCTTGTATGTCTGAAACATTAAATATTAAAGAAAAATAAAATCTATTCTTGTATTCGATTTCCTTTAAAATTTGATCAAATTAAAGAATAGACTAAATCCTGTGAGACGCCATTATAAAACTGTAGGAATCTACAGCAATTACGTTTGAATTTGTAGAAATCGGCTATCCGCGCTCCAAGAGACAAGCAACAGCTGTTATGAGATACAACCCGGTGTTTATGCAATTTTCAGACACAAATTTTCAGACAGGGAAACATAAGAAGCGAA